CAGCCAGCATTTCAGGCAACAGCGCCACCCAGAGGGAACAGCCAGCATTTCAGCAACAGCACCGCCCAGAGGGAACAGCCAGCATTTCGGGCAACAGCGCCGCCCAGAGGGAATAGCCAGCATTTCAGTGTTACAGACTCTCAGACACTGGGCTACTATATATATGATTCAGGGGATTCTTCTTACTATTGAGCCCTGATTCTGGGAGTTAGGCCACCAGGATTCAAAATGTTGATCTGTGAGTGATATTGTATATATTTTATTTACCTATTTTCACATACACTGCTGTGTTGCTACATTTCAGTCTGCAGTTGCACAGATACACAGGAAAAGACTGCTGGAACCTGGGCCCCACCAGCTACTGAGATCCTAGAGACATTATAGGTGGTTTATGTGATAACTAAACAGATCAAGCATCGTACTAATCACATTTGTGATTCAAAAAAGTCATAATCAGAAGACAGCCATGAAAATGTGCTCATTGTTTATGAGAATAATTCCCTTTTATATAGTGAGCTGTTAGATTAAAATGTGGACATGAATCATTCCACATTGTTCCTAATTCTGAAATACCGTAGAGATAATTATCACCCAAAGTAACATATGGCAGTTTAATCCTTGGCCCTTTACATTCCAGGGATCCAAACACATGTCTTGGCTCAGTGATGATAATTCCTTTGAATGCATAGAAACCAGCTGTTGCCAAAACTTTCAATATCCCAGAGAGGAAAGCATGCTTCCACAATGTTTTTACTTATTTCACATCTATATAATGCATCTATTGATCAGTCTCTGTCATATTAACAATATATAGCAATAAAACATCAGTTTCACACAAAGAATAATTCAATATTAGCAGTGCAACCAAATCAAATAAATAACACTGGGAGAGTTATATGCTTCCCCTTTAGCAAAGTAAATTTAGAGAAGAAATACGGTAGGTTAAAAATGATCTGTCAGATCCTTGATTTCACTGAGCCATGGTTGGTGCAGCATCCAAAGAGAGTTGGGGGAAAACACTGGTTTTCAGGGATAGTCATTATTTTTTGTCACGGTACAGATTTCTTGGTCAAGGTATAGTCAAGGCCCAGACTCCAGAGAAAATGATAAAAATAACAATACTGATACTAAGAAGAAGTTACTCACCCTGTGTAGTAACGATGGTTCTTCGAGATGTGTCCCCGTGGGTGCTCCACGCCCCACCCTCCTCCCCGCTCCGGGTCTCTTTGCTTTGTTTTCCAGGGACCGAGCGGTGAGAGGAACTGACAAGGGGGAGCCGGACCGTTGCAAAGGCGCGAACGCCGCGCGCTGCGCCCGCGCATGCGCGGTCCGGCCCGGCTACGGCTATGGAAGTTTTTCCGACCAGCGGCGCCGGGACGGGACCCGACACCTGGAGTGGAGCACCCACGGGGACACATCTCGAAGAACCATCGTTACTACACAGGGTGAGTAACTTCTTCTTAGTATCAGTATTGTTATTTTTATCATTTTCTCTGGAGTCTGGGCCTTGACTATACCTTGACCAAGAAATCTGTACCGTGACAAAAAATAATGACTATCCCTGAAAACCAGTGTTTTCCCCCAACTCTCTTTGGATGCTGCACCAACCATGGCTCAGTGAAATCAAGGATCTGACAGATCATTTTTAACCTACCGTATTTCTTCTCTAAATTTACTTTGCTAAAGGGGAAGCATATAACTCTCCCAGTGTTATTTATTTGATTTGGTTGCACTGCTAATATTGAATTATTCTTTGTGTGAAACTGATGTTTTATTGCTATATATTGTTAATATGACAGAGACTGATCAATAGATGCATTATATAGATGTGAAATAAGTAAAAACATTGTGGAAGCATGCTTTCCTCTCTGGGATATTGAAAGTTTTGGCAACAGCTGGTTTCTATGCATTCAAAGGAATTATCATCACTGAGCCAAGACATGTGTTTGGATCCCTGGAATGTAAAGGGCCAAGGATTAAACTGCCATATGTTACTTTGGGTGATAATTATCTCTACGGTATTTCAGAATTAGGAACAATGTGGAATGATTCATGTCCACATTTTAATCTAACAGCTCACTATATAAAAGGGAATTATTCTCATAAACAATGAGCACATTTTCATGGCTGTCTTCTGATTATGACTTTTTTGAATCACAAATGTGATTAGTACGATGCTTGATCTGTTTAGTTATCACATAAACCACCTATAATGTCTCTAGGATCTCAGTAGCTGGTGGGGCCCAGGTTCCAGCAGTCTTTTCCTGTGTATCTGTGCAACTGCAGACTGAAATGTAGCAACACAGCAGTGTATGTGAAAATAGGTAAATAAAATATATACAATATCACTCACAGATCAACATTTTGAATCCTGGTGGCCTAACTCCCAGAATCAGGGCTCAATAGTAAGAAGAATCCCCTGAATCATATATATAGTAGCCCAGTGTCTGAGAGTCTGTAACACTGAAATGCTGGCTATTCCCTCTGGGCGGCGCTGTTGCCCGAAATGCTGGCTGTTCCCTCTGGGCGGTGCTGTTGCTGAAATGCTGGCTGTTCCCTCTGGGTGGCGCTGTTGCCTGAAATGCTGGCTGTTCCCTCTCAGCGGTGCTGTTGCTGAAATGCTGGCTGTTCCCTCTGGGCGGCCTGGGCGGAGGGGCGCAGAAGTCAGCCGAGCGCCACGGCAGAAGGGGAAGGGAGGTGGGCGGTGATGTGTGGCATGACAATGGCTCCAAGCCCTGCCCCCTGGCCGTGAACATCACCGCCCCACCCCCCTTCACCTCCCGCCATGGCACTTGACTGACTTCTGCGCCACTCAGCTGGGCCGCCACGGGGGAGCATGCAGTGCAAACGACTGTTTGGGCTCCATGCTCCCCATGCAGCATGGGGAGCGCGGAGCCCAAAAGGCCATTTGGGCTCCGCGGTCCCCCGAGTGAGAGGCAGGAGGGGGAGGAGAAGAGACAGAGAGAAAGGCAGGAGGCAGCGGAGAGCTGAGAGAGAGAGGGGGAGGCAGTAGGAGGAGGAGGGGAGAGAGAGAGAGAGAGAGAGAGACGGAGCAAGAGACCGGAGGCTCAGGAGAGAAGACTAACGTGGAGGAGAGACCTGAAAATCCCGTCTTATGATGGGCTAATTGTCTAGTTAGATTATAAACATAGTCAATTCCAGAACTTTCAAACTCAGATGCCTGAAGTTTGGCTTCTAACATTTGTATTTAGGCTCCTAAATAAAAAGCCTGATTTTTAAACGATGCCGGACACATGCACCTCCTCTCAGGCCATATTTATTTAGGTATCCATCAACTGAGGAGCCTAATTCTAGTCACCAGATTTTGCCCAATGTACCCTTTTCTTATCATTGACAAAATACATTTGTTAGATCTTGTAGTGAGCAGGGGTGGCCGCTCACTGACCCCGAGAAGGAGAAACCCCTCTCTGAGCCCGCGTGGGCCATGACGGAGCCTGCCCCTTTAAGTTCACAGAGACCTAGGAGTGGGGCAGGAAGTATAAAAGCCCATCTCAGGAGCTCAGTAGGGGACCAGCCACTGGAGGGAGCAGAGGCCTATGCTGAGCCTTCAAGCTTAAGCCCGTGCCCCTTTAAGTTCACAGAGACCTAGGAGTGGGGCAGGAAGTATAAAAGCCCATCTCAGGAGCTCAGTAGGGGACCAGCCACTGGAGGGAGCAGAGGCCTATGCTGAGCCTTCAAGCTTAAGCCCGGAGGATCTGGCAGAGGTGGACGACTGGCCCGGACTGCCAGGACCAGGCACTGAAGAGTAGACTCATAGACTTTAAGGTCAGAAGGGACCATTATGATCATCTAGTCCGACCCCCTGCACAGTGCAGGCCACAGAATCTCACCCACCCCTCTTAGAATAATCCTCTCACCTATATCTCAGATATTGAAGCCTTCAAATACTTTGAAGACCCCAAGATGCAGAGAATCCTCCAGCTGTGATCTATACCCCATGCTTCAGAGGAAGGCGAAAAACCTCCAGGGCCTCTGCCAATCTACCCTGGAGGAAAATTCCTTCCCAACCCCAAATATGGTGATCAGCTAAACCCTGAGCATGTGGGCAAGACTCACCAGCCAGACACCCAGAAAGTTCTCTATAGTAACTCCTATCATCCCTCCATTGACCTATTTCCCACTGATAATGAATGGTCAATTAGTTACCAAGATCATGTTATCTCATCAAACCATCCCCTTCATAAACCCATCTAGTTTAATCTTGAAACCAGATAGATCTTTTTCCCCCACTACTTCCCTTGCAAGGCCGTTCCAGAACTTCACTCCTCTAATGGTTAGAAACCTTCGTCTAATCTCAAGTCTAAACTTTTCATGCACTATCCCCATAGGCAGAGTATTGAGACCCTGCGAACCCGTCGCTGGTTGAGAGCCAGGTACAGTGTGGAGGAGTTCAGAAGTGGCCCAGGAGAAGTGGATGATGATCAGGTGGAGCTGATAGCCCCTTGATGTGTGTCAGCATATTTCGGAGAGGATTCCCCGCTGACCCCAGTGGCCGCCAAGGCTGTCACTGCCAGGACACGGTGAAGTAGGAAGGGCCCACGTCCCCCCTGCCGCCCCATCTACATGGTGGCAGTTTCCCCATCTCCACTTGTGCTGGGAAAACTGTTTGTTCACCTGCCCCGCCTTGAACCAGGGCCCAGGCTGTATTGACTGTGGACTGGCACAAGCGTTGCAGCCTGCCTTGCTCTCTGGCCCCACCATCTTAAAGAGTCCATCAGACTAGTAGGTATAGGCCCAATCATCAGTCAGGAGCCCAGGACTAAGCGAGACCGCTTACATGTGGTGGAGAATGGGGGCACGACCCAGCCCCTGAAGTAAGGGGTTTAAAGGACAAAAATGGAGAGAAAGAGAGAGGGAATCAGGAATGGCTCTAGAGGCAGTCGAGCAGGTACCCAAGCTAGCAGGTTGGGCCCAAGAGCAATTGACCACCCTATCCGCTCCCAATGTATCAGGGACCATCCGTGTGACCTATCAGAGACTCCCTGGGGAGGTGCCCCAGGATTATAAACAGATAAAAACAGTTGCTTTAGAGACACTACAGAGGCTGGAAATGGCTGGGGC